CAGAGTTCTACAGGAGACCTTCAGAGTTCTACAAGAGACCTTCAGAGGCCTACAGGAGACATTCAGAGGTCTACAGGAGACCTTCAGAGGTCTAAAGGAGACATTCAGAGTTCTACAGGAGACCTTCAGAGTTCTACAAGAGACCTTCAGAGTTCTACAGGAGACCTTCAGAGGTCTACAGGAGACCTTCAGAGGTCTACAGGAGACCTTCAGATTTCTACAAGAGACCTTCAGAGGTCTACAGGAGACCTTCAGAGGTCTGCAGGAGACCTTCAGAGGTCTACAGGATGTCACATGTCCTCTTTGTGTTAAGGAGTATTTAGTGGTTGATCTTTTTATCAGTCAGTAGTCATAATGTTTTGGCTGATCGGTGTTTTCTCTCCAGTTTGTCTGACTCCTTCAGTCCAGATGTTGATGATAAACCACTGTTTGTTCTGTTCTCCAGAGCTCTGAAGGCTGTAGAGGAACTGGCTCAGAAGGTGGAGTTTGAAGGTCAGTCCATCAACATCACCTCCAAAAACTTGGCTTTGGGGATACTGACCTTCAACGTCTCCACTTTCAACGGTACATCCTTCAGCGCCTTCCTCCATCCCAACTCCACCAACCCCAAGGTACCATCATGGAGCTTTCTTTGTTCTCCCCCTTTTATTTTGAAAGTCTGATTTGGTCTTCCTCTATCGCTCTCCTTCCATTCTTCTTCTTCTCTCACTTCTCCTCCTCTCCTCTGTCAGGTTGAGTTTGAGCTAACAGCTAACCCGTTAGCTCAGGTGACGCTCCCCGGCTCGCTGCTGTCCGGCGTCTCTCTGAGCGACGTGGACAGGTGGTCTCTGTCCAGGATCAACTTCGTGTTCTTCAGCAGCACCAGCTTGTTCCAGGTGAGAGAAGAACAAGCTCCTGTGGGTTTCATGTGTGGAACCAGAAGGTGACGGGAGGTTTCCTTCTGTGCGTCTCCCCAGACCGAGCAGGACAGCTTGTCTCTGAACAGCTACGTGGTGGCGAGCAGCGTCGGGAACATTTCCATCAAAGACCTGAAGGATCCGGTGAAGATCGAGATCTCCCACCTGCAGGGAAAGGTTGTGATTGTTCTCCACCGGTGGATGTAAATGTGTTTGAGTCTGAGGTTCTTCCAGTCTGAACGTTGTTTTCCTGACAGGTCCCGTCCAAGAGGAAGTGCGTGTTCTGGGACTTCACCATGAACGGTGAGTCTTTCTGCGTCGAGCAACATCTCAGCTTCAAACTGGGTTTCACAACGTTCATTAAAGGTCTCCGTCGCTGAGAATGATTGAACGTGGTGATGAAAGCATGCTTCGTTGTGGTCTGAAGCCTCCCAGTCTATTGATGATGGCTGACGCTGGTTTAAACCAGTAAACAGAACCAGCGCCACAGTGTGACCCAGTCAGAGCAGAGCGGGGCGGGGCCTGCTGGCTGCTTCACGGTGAACCCCTTGGTGACCAGCAGAGACACCTCCAGCCATGAAGGAGGACACTCTGCTGAAGAACCACCGCCCCTCCATGAAGGTGATGACGTCATGAATGATTAAACATACGTGTTCACACGTGACCAGTTCACTGCGCCCTGACCTCCCAGGATGTCAACGTTTGTTTACCAGTAAACAAGTTACAGAGTCAGAGGCGGACTGTTGTCTTCAGGTCCAGGTCCTGCCTCAAGTCCAGGTGTCTCTGGTTTTGTTCTCAGTGAGGGAAGAACGGAGCGTGAGGTTGACGGATGGACTGAGTTCATGGACGACACAAAGTTGTTGTTTCTCCAGGAAGAGCTCTGTCCATCAGAGTGACCTCACCCAAATGTTTCTTGTTGTGCTGCTTTTTAACAAAGTTCAATATCTGGGACAGCAACACGCCCCCTTCACGTTTCATCCCGACATGTTTCAACGACCAATTCAATATCAGGACATCGATTGTTGTAAAGACTCAGCTCGGACACGTTACTGGGAAAAGATGATTTACTGGGAGAGTCTGAAGAAGAAGCAGAAACTTTGGGAGAACACGTCTCAACTAGATTTACTCTGCCTACACACACACACACACACACACACACACACACACACACGTATTTATATGTGTGTGTGTGTGTGTGTGTGTGTGTGTGTGTGTGTGTTTTATCAGTTGATGGAAGACTAAATATTAAAATCCATTAGAACTTCTACTCCGTGTCACATGAGGTAACTGAAGCATAACTAGTTCATTTAGAGGCAGTGGATGAATGGATGAACTAATGGATGAACTAATGGATGAATTAATGGATGAACTAATGGATGAATTAATGGATGAATTAATGGATGAATGGATGAATTAAT